TCTATTTTTGTATTGCCCAACTTTCTTTTTAATGGAAATATTATGTATTGTTTATAATAGTTGTACTGCATAAAACTGTAGCTTCTTTATTATGAAATACTGAAAACCTACAGTAAGAATGAAAAAATTTGCATTAATGAGGGCTACACAGCAAACCTTTCTAAGGATTTGTGTAGATCTGATATTTGGCAAATTTTTTATTTTATATTCTTACAAAAGTTATGTTTAAAATTATACCTATGAAACCAAAATATAAATAAAAACTTTCAAGATCTAAATTGGAATTATTGTGGTTTGTACATTCATGTTTCAAAATGATTATATTTTATCTACAGTGATTTTAAGTCTTTTGGATTGGGAGACTAGGTTGTGCTTTGTCCCCTAGGCTGGTCTGGAGCTCGCCATCTTCCTTCCTCCACCTCTAGTATGCTGAAATTACAGGCATGAACAGCCACTCCTGGCTTACAGTTGTCTATTTTTAATGCTAGCAAAAGAATAATTATAAACCTGTGTAATAAGGAATTCTGGCAAGCAAGTGTGGTCTGCATTTGATCACAGGAACAGCAGGGTGGGCTCTCATTTGGTCGTGCTAGGCTCTGGTTAACATGCTGCTAATTCCTAGCGCTCCTTGCTACTTCAAAACAAGAAGGAGATTAAGCCAACTGTGGACAGTGGGAAAAACAGGAATTGCCAACACATACAAAAGAGTAGTGGTATTGAAGGATAAAACTTCAAAACATCTGAGATCCACAAAGAAAATTAATTGGCCTGGTTTCTGGGCAGAAAGAGCCAGTTAAATCTGATGTGGGGCTTGGGGTGGTAGGATGAAAAGACTACAAAGTCTATTGTATTCAAGTTATTATGAGAGATCAAAGAAGCTGACGATCTCCCCAGTATTGCAGAGCTTAACGTTGTAAAGTTGATGAATAAAAGAGGTCTACCAAGCCCTGCCACTTTAATTGGATGGTTCAGATTAGCCAGTTCCAAGTGTTTTTTGCCAATTGCAATCAAAGAACAGCTTTTTAAAGAAACAGAACTGCTAATTACAAAGAAAAGGGCATAATACTGATCCAGAAGTACTGTTTTATAGCCAGATTCTGATATTTGGTTAAGCTTATTCAGATTCACAAAGATCCGTAATAGTAATTTGATGTGTATGGCCTAGCTCCCCCTGCCAAATTATGTTCCTAATAACCTAAAACAGTTAATTTATCTAAAAACTTCTAACTTTATCAAAAAAGCTTCTTGTGAGAAAGTATGAAAATGATCTATCTTTTGAGAAAATTTGAGGCTTGAGATCAATTTCTAAAGGGGCAGAAAAATACCTTTGAAGGCAAATATGGCAAAAGTTTAGAAGTTAAGAGTTATAGCTCAGCAGTAGAGCAATCACCTATCACAGGCATGGTCCTCAGTTTGATTCCCAACACCACAAATATTTTTTTTTAATTAAAATGAATTTTGGAAGTTAAAGTTGGTAATAGCTAGCACGCAAAATCATAGTAATGAATACAGCATATGGAAAGTACGGGGGCCAGGGAGATGGCTCAGTGGAATAAGCGCTTCCCTGGCAAGCGCAAGGGCCTGAGTTCAATCCCTAGTTCTGCCAAAAAAAAAAAAAAGTAGTATGGATTTCGTATATGAGCACAAGGTCAGTATTTCTCACTTGGAAATACTTAAAAATACCTTTGGAAGCTGAGTATGGTGGGGCATATCTGTAATCCAAGCTGTTGGGAAGGCCGAAGCAGAAAGATTGCAAATTCAAGTCTAGCCTGGGCACCACAGAGCCTATCTTAAAAAGAGCTGTGGCCACAGCTTAGATCCCCAGTATATAAAGCCAATTTCAATCATGTACTGTTGGGGCCGGGGAGATGGCTCAGTGGAATAAGTGCTTCCCTGGCAAGCGTAAGGGCCTGAGTTCGATCCCTGGTTCCGCAAAAAAAAAAAATCATGCACTGTTGTGACAGAGGGACCCTGGATTGTCTTTACAATGTGTGATCAAAACTGCAATGAATGCCACTATCAAGTGCCATCCAGCAGAAGGCAGGCTCATAATAACATGGCGTCCGCTTTGCCTTTTTCATCAGATTTGCTGCCCCACACAACTGGCTCCTCCCAAAGTCAAAATGGCCATGAAAAGCAAACATTTGTAATAGATTCAGGACAATAAAGTAGCTACAACAATGCAATTGAAGACACTCATGAAAGAGGACTTTGAGAACTGCTTCAGAAAGTGCCAGAGAAAAATAAGTGGCAGAGAATGATGGGAGAACTGCTCAAAGTGAGCAGGAGTATCTTGTGGGAGATTAATAGTAATGTATCTTAAATGTAAACATTCATTATGGGTTTTTTTCCCACACTGCTTGTGCAAGTAACACAATTTAGAATATTTTTTAAACATTTGTTAAACATTTGTTAAATATTTGTTTATTTATTTGTTACAGGGTATTGCTATGCAGCTCAGACTGATAGTGATCCTCCTGTCTAGCCTCCCCAGTGCTGGGATTACAGGCGTGCACCTCCACACCTGGTTTCAGTGGCCGGCTTAGCTCAGGGCCAGAATGGCATGAGGTACTAGGAATCGAACTTCTTGCACTTGACAGTCACATGCCTAGACCACCGAGCTATCTCCCCCACCCCACAGTTTAGAGTATTTCACCCAGAAAGAAATCCTGTGCCCACTGATGTCACTCTCCACACCTATCCCACCAGCCCTAGGCAACCCCTGTCTGGTTTCTATATCTAGACATTTCATGTAGAACATACAAATACCCTTTTGCTGAACATTTTCAACACTTAGTTTATCTTCAAGGGTCATTTGTATTCTAATGTACTTTATCTTATATAATATCCCTTAGGGGCCAGGTGTGATACCTATAATTCCAGCACTCTGGAGGCTGAGGCAGGGGGACTGAAAATTTGAGATCAGTCTGTGAGACTGTCTTAAAAATAATAGCCCTTTGAATATACCACTCATTATGTCTGTTACAGAAAAAAATGCAACTGTATACTCTTGGTATAAGTTTTTATATGCAAATGTTTTCATTTGCCCTACACATACACATAGGAGTGGAATTGTTGAAACTTGTAGTGTGTTTAACATTTTTCCTATGCTGGATCAAACCCAAAGCCTTGCACAAGAGTGCTAGGCAAGGACTCTGCCCTTGGCTGTTTCTCCAGTTCTGCCCATCCTAGAATTTGTTGATCTCTTGGACTGTTCATTGCTTTATACTGCAACCATTAAGAGCCATTTAGCTGTAATAAGCACTTTGCCCTTCACTAAGTGGTCATTAGGCCGTTGTTTAAATCTTTGAATGGTATTTTTCATTCTTTCAATTTCACCTGCCTTTTCTGCTTTCTGTCAGTTGACTCCTTATCCTCTTCCCCACTTTCGGTCATGGGGAAAACCGTAAAGTCAGAGGCCAGACTTTAACAGCTTTTTAAAAGCGTAAGTACACAATTATGATTAAAACAAGAAAAAAAAAAAAAAAAAAAAAACTAGGAACGAATTCAACAAACGAGTTTTGGGACCTTTGAAAATGCAACATTAAAACTTAGGCCTAGAGGATGAATAGAAGCTGTCCAGGAACAGTGAATTAAACTGCCTGCCAGTCAAGAAAAAAGGCATGCCACCTTCTGGCCTAGGACAAAGTCCAAAACTTTTACAAACCTAAAAGAAAACCAGTGGTCTGAAACCCAGTAAGCTGGGGAAGAACAATAGAAAATGAAGCTGGGAAGATAAGCCAAGAGGGTGGCATTCCTACCATCTGCGTAAGTTAGTTGTATCTAAGTTACTTTGAAAATAAAACCAGAAAAGGGAAAAAACTGTAAGCAGAGGAGTAACTAATCCAGTAAGATTGACCCAGAAGATCATGGGCAATCCACAAATGCTCAATCATGCCTACATAGACACACAAAAGTGTTTTAGTGCTCTCACCAATGACCAATAACCTTTTAGAAATACACATTTTTTCCCAAAGTACTTACTAAAAACTCATCAGCTTGCTTACCATAAGTGTTAAATTGAAATTATCTTGTTCATTTATATATCTTCAAAGGATTAGAACATTCACTAGTTATATGAGCTGAAGAGAAGTGCCTCTTCATTCATACTGTCCTTGGGCACCTTTCCCTGTCTTTGTGTTGCATCGAGGTCCCACTATGGTGTCCAGGCCGGTCGTCAGATCATGAACTCCAGTGACCTTCCCCTGAGCTTCCCAAGTCACTATGGGCATTGACCGCCATGCCCAGTTCTTTTTCCTACCTCTAGGCTGACCATGGAACCCAGACAGGCGTGGTGCACACCTACAATCCCAGCACTTAGGGAGGCTAAGGCAAGTGGATCAGAAAATTGAGCCCAGACTGTGCAACGTAATGACTTAATAAGATCCTGTCTCAAATTATAAAAAGGGCTCAGGATGTAGGTCAGTGAGGAGGCCATAGGTTCAATCCCTAGTAGAAAAAGAACAGAATATCATGAAATTCCAACGCTGGAGTAATTTAACTCAGTAACTAGCAGTCCTGTCCTCAACCCCACTGTAACATACAAAGGGTTCTTCAGGCTGGTTTTATACATCCAGACTTTCAACCCGTGTTCTTGTTTCCTGTTGCCTGATTTTCCAGATCATGAATGCTTATGTGACCCGCCTAGATTACTCTGTTTTTCTAGATTTTGAAATTTATTTTTTGGCTTGATGCATGTTTGTTTCTTCCTTTGTGCCTTGAGTGCGTAGATGCTGCCCTAGAGCCACAGCTCTGATCTAATTTTTACATTTTCCTGCCTAACTTGGTCCTATGATCAATGACTAACCCTAGCTATACCTCTCATAGTCTGGTGTCTGTTACAGATTAACCACT